TTGTTAGCATCTGGTGCTAGCTAGCTGCGCTAACGGATATAAGGAGCTGTTTAAATGAAAACAGAGGAGCGACATTTCGCCGACAACTGCGCCGAGCACTTCACTTTATTCAGGTAGCCAGACAGTGGGACATTGTACGAAAAGTCAGCACACTCAGCACGGATAGTGCAACATGATTGCAGCGTCCAGGCAGCTCCCGTTCGAGCATGCCTTCACACACACACACACACACACACACACACACACACACACACACACACACACACACACACACACACACACACACACACACACACACACACACACACANATACAGTCAGAGTAGGGGCGGGTCTTCACAGAATACGTTTTGGGGAACAAAATCAAGCTTTTTAAAAGGCTAGTGGATTTTGGCAGGCAGTGAGTGCGGACAAACGATTGAACGATAACAAGAACGGCTCTCACCAAGTACGACTCGGTTCCCCTCGTTCATATCAAAGAGCCGTTCAAAAGAATCGGCTCGTTCGCGACCGACACATCACTACTGTATTGTATTATTGTATGAGAGAGGTTCCAGATTGAATTGAGGCGAATATTTGTAATGTTCAGAGGTTGTTGTGTTTAATATTCATGAGAATATTTGTCATTGTTCAAATGATAATAAACATTTGCATAAAGCATATTTGTCAACTCATATGAGTATTACAAACTTGAAAAATATTCCTCTAAGGTACGTTTAGAACATATAAAAAATGTGCGATTAATTTGCGATTAACTATGGACAATCATGCGATTAATCGCGATTAAATATTTTAATCGATATTGTGTCTGCTGCTACATGTCTAACTCTAAAAAGAGCCCTTGTGAAAGACATGCAATAAATCCTGGGTTACAACACCATCTGCTGATGAGTTTGTTGCAGGAAATTAAGAATGTGGTCCCATTGACGGTAGAGAAAGATAATGATGCAGTTTTTTGTCAGTTTTCCTGAGTGCTATGTGAAGACTGCTGCTGTCACTTTATCATTGTGTTGATGATAATTACCAACTCTGTCACTATACGTATGGAGGTGTGATGGTTTAAGTCATTGCTTTCTCCTGCCAGTAGTCCCCCCCCCACCTCTCCTCCTTCACATCCGATACCAGCCATATTGGAAGATGTCACTTTATGCCTGATGATTATTCAGAGCCACCTGTCTCTCCATGTCCCATCCGAGGATCTGTGTGGTGGTTACACAAGCATCCATGTAATCATTGCAGTTAGTTAAGAAGGGTTAGAGAGAGTTCATCATTTGCAACTTTTCTTTTTAACTGTTTTTGTCTTCTCGTTTTTGAAGTTTTATTCACTACCAATCAGCGGAAAAGCACAACTATCTGAGCTCAGAAGTCTTAGTGTTTATAAAACATTAATGCATTAGGAATGGCTGCACATTTGGAACTCTCAGCATAATTGAGCCCTCTTTTCTTCACAGAAGCTTGCACTGTGAGGTTTTAGAGATGTGTATAATCATTTTCTGTATCCATTATACTCTGGGAACAAGACAAAGGTGTAACACCGTCTAACTCTGGCCTTTACACTGAAAGAGGATAATTGCATCACTATATTAAATAAAATTTCTGTTGAATCATGTTTTATTTGCTGAATGTAGGAGAATACGTTTCTAATCAAGAACAACACTCCAATCAAGTTTGGAGAGAAACTAATTATGTCTATCTTGCCGCAATAAAAATGGTCAAAGTTAATTTATTTTCTAAGGATTATAGGCAGTATTATTATACGACATTCACTTGAAATATACGTGTAAAATCATACAATTCTCTTATGGAGCAGTACTGTGAATAAAGAGAAATTGGTCAAATGCTGTTGGTGATGTAAATAAAACGCAATCCTCTGGATGCAGACACACACCCTCCACAAATCAGAGCCTTGTATGATGACAACAAGACATATTAGGCTGTAAATCACACACCGATCCCAGCATGGGGGGTGAATGATGCAGGCTGTTTGTGAACAAAGGCAAATTGCTTTGACCCACTGGGGCAGCTTGGGCTCTGATTTGCAACGGTAAATAAATTAACTAGTAGGCTGCCAGACATAGGAGAAAGAGGCTAATTGACTTTTATCTTTAATACGGTACTCCCTTTCCCAACAATGAGATGCTGTTTGCATACAGTGATAACCTTCAGGGTGTGAAAGTCAGTGTCTCCAGGGGTTTGACCAGCCCGAGTGAGTATAGGAAGATCTTTGACTTGACCCGATAGCTGGTCACCTATCAGGGGGCCTCACACCATCCCACTGCATGTAGACATGGTGGTATTATACTGAGCACCACACTGATACATGTCTCACTACCTTTTGATCAGCAAACATTAACATTAGCATTCTTTACATCTCATCTATTTCTTTTAGAAGGCTGTATGATAGAATGAAACCACAACAATATGATGCACTTAGTAGGAAGTGGACTACTTGGGGGAAATCAAACATCAATGTCAACAGATGAATTGCTCATTTACCTCATACCTATACTAATCACATTAGCTTTTACAAATGGCAGCTAGTCAGGGAATTTCAGACCAGTTTTGGGAGATGAAGAATCATTTTCATAAAGGAACATGTAAGTTGTTTAGATAAAACTGACTTGACTCTGTGGTGCAGTTCAAACTAATTAGTCCACTGTGGATTGGTCCCAAAGACGGGGCTATTGATCCGGACAATCAAGGCAATCTAATCAATCAATTTACAGCAGGCCAAGGGACAGGTCCCCACAGGTGACAAAACACAAGTCTGCCTGCTGCTGTGTAAGATTTACAAATGTAATGCAACAAATATGTTTACATTACAAGGGAGGATTACTTTAAAAAATGTATTTAGTTTTCAGGGAAACAAAATGAATGCCTAACTATTAAAATATTGCAAAAATACCTTTGTTGTTCTATATCATCCTTGAGAAAATAATTTGTCTTTGCTCTGAGATCATGCGCGCAGCACAGGGTCGTAAGAAGGCAGCCTGTGGAATGGAGAGCTCCTATTGGCTGCTGCTCGCCTGTATAAAGCGCCGCAGTGGCAAATTCAATCAGATCAACTGCGAGCATACTCCAAGAGAGCCAGACATCAGGAAGCTCGATCAAACTGGGACGATTTCTGCTTTGTTCTGCTTGTTGTTTTTCACATTTTCTGCAACAAAGACTGGATCCACATCAACACCATGAAGGAAAGGAGAAATACACAGCCGCTGGTTGTGAGATGTAAACTGGTTCTTGTGGGAGACGTTCAATGCGGAAAAACGGCGATGTTGCAAGTCCTGGCGAAGGATTGTTACCCAGAGGTATGCTCAAATGTGGAAAAAAGGAACTAAACCTGCATGTTATTTAAAACTCTTCTGTATTCATGTAAAAAAATAGTGATAGGCTAAGTTATTTTTTAAATGATTTATTGTAGCGAGAAAAAAGAGGTGCGCATGTTGCAGACAGTCAGTTTCCATGCGCATTTTCATAAACTGTTGTCCTGTTGGTTCATTTGGTATATATTGACCGTAATACCTATACATTGATTCGATTTTTTTATAGGATGATCAATGAACATTTATTCCCTGCGCATTTATGATATTTTATTGGCCTGTGTTGAATAACCCGTGCAGCTGCAGTGATTCGTGTGATTGCTTGATCAATAATTATTTAAAATTGAGAGAAAACTATCTTATTATTAGGCTTATTATTAGTCTTCAGTGCGTGTTTCCATGTTACACTAATTATCCAGATCAATTTCATTACCTGTAGCTGACTGACTGACACCTCCCCACTAATGGCATCATCTTGCTAATTGCTCCCCAGACCTACGTGCCCACGGTATTTGAAAACTATACAGCCTGTCTGGAGCTGGAGGAGCAGCGAGTGGAGCTCAGTCTGTGGGACACTTCAGGTAATTGATCCCATTTTTTCTGTTTATACAGCCTATCATGGCCAGCCATTCTTCCTGCAGCACTGAGAGTTAATATTAAGAAATGTGCAGTGAATGTAATGAGAGTCAGTCTGTGCTGCAAGAGCTGCGTCTTAGAATGTATTCCTAAATATTCTTCTTTTGGAAGCATCTAAAAAAAAAGAAGAGAGATATCACGAAAGTTGTTGTTAATAACATCAAGAAAATGGGCATACCTCATACTATTTGTTACTTTTGTTATTATTCAAAGCACAAGACATGTACACTTGTTGAACTGCAGTCCTGTTACTATTTCAGATCGCAGCTGATTTCAAAATGATTATATCTTATGTCCCCTCTGTGGGACGAATAAAGGTATTCTGATTCTGAAGGCAGGATCAAATATTGACGGCTCTACAAGTGCATTTATGTGCCTAATAATGTTCACTGAAAACTAGACAGAGAGACAGGGATTATTGCGCTTCAATTGTTCTTGCTGACTTTGTCCATCATATGTTAATTTACACTAAGCGTGAAAAAGAGGGTCAATATGTCAGTGTGGATCTCCCCGAGGATCTGCTGTTTAGTGTGTTGACCTGGATACTGTGAACACGGGTCTGACTGCAGCACCTGTTGGATTCCCTTTCATGCTCACTGCACAATGGTTTCTCTCACCACCCCACAGCTCTCTCCATCCACACTTTTGCCAGATGTATCCCCAGTCTCACAAGGTCACTGTGGTGGAGCAAGATAGTTTGTGTTGTTGTCTATGTACAACAAATCCTTTATGTAACAGACCCACTTGTTTGAGATGATGCAGCATTTACTGTGGTGTCCCCCCGGCCACCCCCCCACCCCCCCATATTATCCAAAAGCTGCTGCATCAGGAGAAAAGGGAGTGTAATTCCCTCCCCAGACCAAATCCTGCTTTTTAATCCCAGACTGTGGACCTTTGGTCTGGCCAGCATGAGTGGGCCTGGTGCCGGGGGATGATGGGCACACAGGGAGACATCCTGTTGGGCAGGAAGGTTTTCTGGAGCAGACAGACAGGAGGCAGCTCAAAAACTCTTGTGACCTGCATTCGCCTCCATATGCTGCTCCGGGTCACTCTCTAGAGCAGCATGATGCAGGGGATTAAAGGTCTGAATAGGTCCACTGCCACCTCGTCTAAATGACCCAATGAGGTTGGCACGCTTTCTCTTTCTGTCTTTTCTTTTTTTTCTCTGAATACTTTCCCCTTGTTTATGTAGCTTGTCAGCTCCTATTTACACATATTTTATTGTTTCAACTCTTTTCTTCTTTGTTGCCCCCCTGCCTTTGTTGTTCCTCGTTATTCATACACAATCCCAAATTGCACCAGTTAATTTGCTAATTTGCCTCACAAGGAACAATGAACATAACCAGTGATCAGTAATACAGTTCACATGCCTGACAGACAGTTCACAACGTGTTATTCAAAGCAAAGGGTTTTTTTTTTTTTTTGGGGGGGGGGGGTGGGAAGCTGAATCTTCACTCTCTTGTCACTGAGAGGTGAACCTCCTACCCATTATTTGTTATAGATGGCTTCCATGTATATTGTGTCAGGCTCTGGGTGATGGACGATAGGCAGAATGGCTTTTTGTTGGTCACACCGTACAGTTTCTTCGTCTTGCTGTAATTTACTATAATTGCGTGAGTTGCATTGCTGTGGCCGCACCACATTGAGAGGGTCTCCTCATTATCCCGACTCTCCTTCATTGATCGGACTGACCTCATCTCCAGCTCCACATGGCAGGCAGCTCCTTCTCCCAGCCCCGCCATGGATTTACAGACTAAAATCAATCCACCGGTTTTAATCAGCCTGGTCCAATCGGGCATGTGTCGGGGGGGGGGGGGAAGCAAACAACGTCCAGTGGTTGTAAGTCATGAATAGTGAGTAATGAATCTCGTTATGGTGTTAGTAGGTAATTTATTTCAGGTTGAATGTTCTTGCTGATAAAGCCTTTGTGTTTTAGAAAGATACTGTATATAAAATAATTGATTGGTTATTAAGGATTACAGATTGGCATTTGTTATGGACCCAATATCCATTTAAAGTTAATGAAACAATCTATATAATTATAAAGAGAGGCATTGTTAACAGACAAACTCATGTTAATGGCTTAAGCCATGTTAGACTATAAATTAGAAATGACTGATATGTAAGTGTATCTATATCAGTCATTTATAATGGCATCGGAACGGGTCTTAGGGTTCAGACTGTTATAAGGCTGCATCTATTTAATTGTGTTGAGTGATTAAACAATGCATCACATTATCTAATTGACACATAGTTTTAGCACTAGTTTAATTTTAAATTAGAATGAAGGATATGGCATAAATATGCTTAATTTCAGAGAACTATTCAGACTTGTTTTAACAGTCTGGGTCAATTGATTGGGATAACTTTCAACCTTTTAACTAGAGAAACCACTATTTATCTAACTCTCTGGCTATGAGTTGGTGATAGATTGCGAGCAGAATGCACTTTTTATTGAAACCATCTGTTTCAGTGTACTTCAAAATGAGTGAGATGAGCTTTGACAGTGTCAAGTTACAAAGTAAAGCTTGTTAACAGCTCAGATGTGGTGATGCTCAGGAACAAAGAGCGGCCCTTTCCTCTCGGCAGGGGTCTTCAGCAGTGATTCTGACCGCCTCTGGCATGTGAAACCAAGGAACAACTGCCTGACGCAATGTAGAGTGTCTTTTGGCCTGGCTGTAAAGACCGTAGTTATCAGACTGCTGCTGCAGCACCACAGCTCCCAGTCGGCCGAGCGTGGGTGGGGGGCTACTCTCACCCCTAAATCTGTGAGTCATCCCATTTCTGGATCATTAATCTGTCTGACCCCTGCATTCTCACTGTAGGAGAGGAGTGTGCTAATGATGAATATGGGCTATGTCGCTCAGCTGATTTACACACACAAAATACACACATAGTTTCACTTATGAACACACAGAAGAAGCAGATCCTCCCCTCCCCCACCTGTAAGCTCCATCACAAGGCCCGTCGTCTCGGCCTGGGAAGCCTACTTCTGCTCTGGCCCAATTTCCACCTCGACACTTAGCTCTGGGCACCGTACCATCAAGTCGGATGGAGTAGAGTTCAGCCGCAGGAATTTTGTTTCTTACCCCTCCATTCTCTAGTTAGTCTACCACACTCCGTATTTCATGCCTCACAAACTCTCCATCTGTTGTCGAGGCATGCTGTTGAGAAAAGGGAAGAAAGGGAATATTTGGAGCATGCTTAGGCTCTGCGTGTGTACTGATCTATGAAAGCTATTTTTTGGGTTGTTGCAATGGAGAGAAGGAGGGAACAGAAGGAAAGAGACTGTATCAGACTGCAGGGGGTGAAGGATTAATGGGGAGGAGGGTTTTTTGTGATCTCTCTCAGTAGCCTACACTCCTGCTTTCCCTCCCTTATCTTCCTACTGGCTTTTCTTGCCACAATAGAAACAGCCATTTCTGCTAGGATTAGAAACTGGATCCTGGAGTGTCGGGAGAGTGCTTCCAAGGCTGCTGCTGCACCCACACAGCATGCCGTGGTGCTTCAAATACTAATATTTACACATACATGTATTATTTTTGGATTCAGTTCCTTTGTAGATAGAATAAATACGCCTACTGAATCATGCATTCCTTTGTCCAAAATAAAAGATAAAATCGATTTTTGTGAAGGAAAATAAATGTCCTAGACGTCCCCTCCCGTCTCCCCACCCTCTTGACAGGGTAACTCATTTGTCAGCTTTAATTGCAAAGGCTCTTGGACCCCCTGTGCAGCTTTCCATTGATTACTGCATTTAGATCAGTGGTCATTTCATGCAGAATCACACCCCGGTTCCCAGATGTGTGATAACCCCTTGAGGGAGATTGAGAAGATTTATAGAGCTCCCTGCCTTTGATTCTCCTATGATAAGACGCCTCAGAGTTGAGACACACACACACACACACACACACACCATACACACTCTCATTACCCCAATGGTGCTAATTGTTCTGATTCGAATGTGTGTCAATTTTCACAGTCAGCAGACACAAAGTTGTCTCACAGAAGATTGTGGCTCTTTCTAATCTAGCTCAAGGTGTAAACGTTGTGAGTGCGATAATGTAATTTGCATTAAGTTGGGAACGTCTGTCCTCGTTGTCAAAATTCAGTCATAGTAAAACCTCAATCTGAATGGTTTAGTTCATTTGCTTCTTAAGAGTAAAACAAATTCATTTTCTCTATCCAAAGGCAAAGAAACTGTTTTTAAATACAACCAGCGTGTCCCTTTGTTCCTATGCTGCAATGTTTACCTTCTCCAGGACAATGAGCCCTAAGGAATTTCATCGCAGCTTGTCATTATTCCACTCACAGCGCCCGGCAGCTGGCAAATTCAGTTTTACCCTTTGATAATGTGGAAAACCATTAAGTATTCATGAAACCGATCTGTATGCACACATGCATGTTGTTGCGTGCACTTTTTCATATGTTTTCTTCCATTGTTTTTTACGCTGTAAATCAATTAGGATGGTTGTGTAATATCAAATGAGTGATTACACAGACTGCTTTTGTTATCTGTAGCCATAAGAGGAACACTGAATCCCTTTTGGGATTCACATGGAGCCTAAAGTAAACATGTTAATCCCATTGAGCTGCTCCTTCTGTTTCATCTGATCACACCTCTGGCTGCTGCCAGATTTAAATAGTGAGTCCGTGTCATAAGGTGAGGTGTTGCTGTGTGTGTGTCTCTTTGTGCGTGAGACATGTTTGTCTGTGGTCCCCAACCCTGTCGCAGAGCAGAGGAATGTCCCCAGCAGTGGGTGGGTGGGCAGTTAGTGGTGTAAAATGATTGATTGGCAGTTAAAGCGAGCTTTATAGAGAGGTGGGAGGAATGCCTGATGTAGATGGTGGATTCCAAGGCTGTTGCTGTGGTAACAGAGGGACTGAGGTATTGTGCGGCGAGCAGAGGATTTTTTGGGGGGTGGGTGGTTTACTTAAGGATTCTGAGCATGAGTGGGAGCGTCTGCCTGCCCCGAGCCCCACCGTTCCACTTGCGTAATCTACTGCAAGAGAAGATCAATGAGGATTTAGTGCTCGATTGTCATCTTCTCTCCTTTTGAAATGCCAGCAGAGGATATAGGAGCAGGGAAAAGAGCAGTTTCAGGGACAGCAAAGTGAGGCTCAGCAGAAGTGATGCCGATTTCACATAATCCCTGCTGCTGTAGTTTCTCGTTCTGCCTCGGACACTCTGCTGCTCTATCACCCTTTTTGCCCTGACCCGTTGTTACAGCAATTGATTCCTGAAACAACCTCCACTTAATACAAATAAATCATTGGCTTAAGTTGTTCATCACAAAACATTTTACAAAGCAAATGTAAATTTGCACATCTTCTTTTTTAATATAAAATATTTCCTAATGTGGCACATGAAACATATCTGCGTCCCCTGCATGTCTGAACTCATATTTGTACAAATAAAATAAAAAAGATCCAAAGGTCCATTAGACTTGTTTTTATTCCAAAAGACTAGAAACAAAACGGTATTACTTTACTTGAACTTGCGATTTCACCACGAAGACGAGGAAACTATTAAGGATCGTTGAGTTCAAAATGGTAGCTGTGCAAGATCCCTCTCAATCTTGTCTAACAATTTAGCAATACTACGCATTGAAGGTGAATGGAACTACTTCAGACTGCCTGCGTGTGTTTTTAAAGTTGGTCCTATCTTTTATCCACATTAATGATTCTCTGTTGTTTTGGCCCTAAGGTTCTCCATACTACGATAATGTGAGGCCCCTGTGCTACAGTGACTCAGATGCAGTTCTACTGTGCTTCGACATCAGCCTTCCTGATACTGTGGACGGCAGTCTGAAGAAGGTAAAGGCTTCAGTTCTGCACCTTACATTATAATTATCGTTAGTCACATACTTAATCAGCTATTCCTATAAATAAAGCCTGTTTTCATGAAATTATACTATAGTAGGACTGTGTAAAATATAATTACTGTACCCAAAATGAACACACTGAACTCACTGTCCTTTCCTGTCCACAGTGGAAAACTGAGATCCTGGACTTCTGTCCGAGCACACGGATCCTGCTCATTGGTTGTAAGACCGACCTGCGCACAGATGTCTGCACGCTGATGGAGCTGTCCAATCAGAAACAGACTCCCATCACCTATGAGCAGGTGAGAACAAAAACATTACGCATAGAGATTGTCACTGGAATAGTACAGTTGCTACATTTTCATTTTGTGGCTTTTTTGTCATGTCTGGCTGGTAAGGAAAAGAAATATATTTCACATTATTTTCTGCAGACAAGATTTATATCGATATATACATCACACCTTGCATATCATTACACTTTATCTGGAGCACTTTGTTATAGCTGGCATTCTCAAGTATTATGATGTATTACTTAAAGAACCTGCATTATTTTTTTTTTAAATTGGTAAACCATAGATAAAATGATTCCTATGTTGTTTTTTTCAACAATAATGTAAGGGTCACGCATATAATGAATGAATGATCTATTGTCACAGCTACATGGTGACCCTGGTAAAAAATAAAGAAAGTTTTAAAGGACGTGTATATCTCGTATTGCAGGGTTCTGCTATGGCCAAGCAGCTCGGTGCAGAGGCGTACCTGGAATGCTCAGCGTTCACCTCGGAGAAAAGCATCCACAGCGTGTTTCGCACCGCGGCCATGGCCTGCATCAACAAGCTGCAGCCCCTCCCAAAGTCCAGCCCCACCCGTCGCCTCTCCAAAAGACTCCTCCACCTGCCCAGCAAGTCGGATTTGATCTCCTCCACCTTCAAGAAGGAGAAGGCCAAGAGCTGCTCGGTCATGTGAGTGGAGACCTTTCGGGTTACAGTCTTCACATGCAACCCCCAGCCCCCCGCCTCTTTGGTCTCGGGGAAGGGGGGGTGGGCACGATGGTTTTATCAGGGCTTCCTGCTGAATCCTTCCCTCATCCCCCCGCAAACCAAACACCCCTCAGAAGAGGTGGACACTTCGCTGTCCACTTGCTCCTGAACCTTTCAGCGCACATCCATCTTTTTCCACTACTGTTTGTCTTGCTTTCGAACAAACAATATCAGTCAAGGTTTGCTCATCGAGCTATAATTTTTCACCTGTGAACAGTATGCAACTAAAATGGTGTTACATCGGTCCGATTTTAATATATCTAGGCACATGTTGATTTGTCCAAAATTGGAAACTTGTGACATAAAATCTTGTGATGTAAACGCCTCTCAGACAACTCAATGGATATTTTTCTAAATACAAAATAAATCTAGCATGAAACTGTCAGGAATGAGCATTTCTGCACATCTCTCTTTAGGTCTGTCAGGATTGAAATAGCTTGTTGCTGGTGTCCCCATTTAGGCCTGTAAACGTGCAGAGTATAGAGCGAGTAGTGGGACAAACCACAGTAAGAGCTACTACACAGAGTTGTTCTCATTGTCTCAGTGGTGAGGAGAGCAGGGATAAGAGCTGTGAACTCAGGCTGCTGTACAGACAGCAGTCTAACTATCTCAACCAGCATGGATTGTTGATGCATGGTTGTGTAGCTCTGGACAGCGGTACTACACAGGTTTCAGTGGAGGTGAAAGAGGCTCTGTGTATACGGCACAACTTCCGAAATGTGAAAAAACGCAAACAAAATAAGTTTAGTCGGGCTTCCAGTGTCTCTGCTGTCTATTTTGGTGATGGGGCAATCACATTTTAATGGATGATTTAAAGTGGCTTTTATACAAAAAGCATTAAAGCAGTTCAATGCCGTGCTCTCGAGTGTTATTTATGAAGCTGTGGCTGGTTATTCATGCCAGTCAATAATATGGAGGCAGAGAATAAAGCCTACCTTAGTCAGACCGACTGCTAATGGGAAAATCTGGTTTTCAGTTTCAAATATTCTTCATACAAGATTTGTAGCATTGTGTTGTTGACAGTTTTTCAACAATTCTCAAATGGTATGCAGTTTTGAAAAATGCCTTTCATTTCATGTTCCTGGAAGTCATTGAAATGTTTTTGACTACTGTTAATATGCCTTGTGGATTCCTTCGTTTGCAACAATCCAATGTAGCACTCCCAGCGTGACTCTACTCTTCCAAGACGACTGTAGTTTTGTTAATCCATTGACCTCCAATAAGCAGCACTTATTGTAGGTTACAATGACTACAAAGCAACAAATTGGACCCTTTTCTGATCTTAAATCTTTGGCTTTATGGTTATTTGTGTGTGCAGCTTTAATCTTTGTGCTTCTTACCATAAAGCAATAAAGATTTCAGTGCTTGTGATGCAAGGTAACCTGTGCGGCAATAAAGATGCAGCTTTGTGATTACTGTCATGCTAAAGCGCTCCACATCCATGTTATAGACTGAAACCATCCCTGCTGTACAAAGCGGCTGCTGATCTGTGTTTGCCCCTACTCCTCCGTGTAAGCCACTGGCATATAGAATAACCAATGGCGATGTCCTGCTATGATCAGATTATCTGAATCCCAGAGAACAAAACTCTTTGGGTTGGGAAGGCTAGCCTCTGCTGCCAATTTTACATAATCATATAAAAGGATTGAAGCAGCTTAGGACTTAGATAAACTGCCTGAGTAATCAAAAGTGCAGTACTTGCTTTTTAAAATTGAAAATCGACTTCAAAAGTTCAGCAATCATCTTGTAAAAAGGGCTAGTGTGTGGAAATAAGGAAATAATGTGAGAAGAACAAGTAAACAAAATGCACAGGCTGGCCCTGTCCAAAGAAAGCTATTTTTCCATTATTTGTTTATTTAGTTGATGTGTATTTTCTTTTTTGATATTTCAAAGCATGATGTTAGTCCCAATGTTGTTTTTGAAAAAAGAAAAACTCTTTCTGAGATGGTTGTAGCGTCTTTATGGAGCTCTGGACTGCCCCTGGTCGGAGGAACTTAACGTGGTGATTTGCAAAAAGGCTTCCAGTTCATGTTCCCACACCAAATTCCAGAGTATTGCCTAGCAACAATCCAGCACAGGAAACAGAGACTGGCTGCTGGGTTAGTTGTGTCGACGGGAGAGGGTTGGTTCACACGCAGATATCCCCACATCCCTTTTTACAGCATCAGTTATGCATTTTGCTTGGCTTGTTAAAAAAAAAAAAAGAAAAGTGTCTTGGTATTTTTCTGATGCCAGGCCTTGTGATGATGGGATAGATGAGCGTACCATTTCAGTCAATATGCAGCCTTTGTGTTGTAGTCGGTGTGTGTGGTACAATGGTGCAGTCAAACTCCTAAGCATGTCCTATTAAAGTTGTATGATTGTACATACGTCTCTTGTTTTATAATCATTGTAAGACCTCTCCAAGGATGTCATATGAAAATGATGTTGTTGATGTGAATATTTATTTGGTAGCTAATTTTTTTTTTTTTTATTGACATGTACATTTGTTGAAATTTGACTTTTCCTTTTTTATTTTGTTGTTATTTTGTTTATGCTGTGTTAAATAAAGCTTGCCCTGTCCGGCACCCTTACATTGTGGTTTTCCAGTCATTTCTGTTGTTCACGATTCACTATCAATAAACATCCATTCTCTGATAATTTGTATATATACCCAGTTTCACAGTGTTGTCATAAATAAACGAAAATAGTCATTTGAATATTTAAACAAGAGTCTTAATAAAACAGCTGGTGGTGACATTAATTATTGGTTGTTTACAAGTACATTTATGAAAACATTTAACACAAATAAATGTAAGTGCACCCTTTTTGTTAGTATTATTATTAAGTATTATTCCATGGGGAGTCAAGAAAATACTGCATTTTACATTTGTCTTCCCACAATAACAAATCATTATCTTTTCTTCTGGTTCTCTTAAACTTTTGTGAATTGTATTCCTACATTAATTGAACAGGTTCATGGAACTGATAAAAAAGCGCAACACTCGTTTCAAAAAATTCAAAATGATACTCGAGTAGATTAAACCATTCTCAACACATACTTAGGAAAAGTGAACAGATGTCTCCAGAGGTGTAACCCAACCCAACTCAACTTAAGGAAATAAGGTGCTTATCTTTTCCACTCTATCGGTGCTAATAATTTCTTCTAACAGGCTCTGTGTCACCGCATGCATGCAGATCCTGTCTCATTAAGGATAGAGCAAATTTAAATCACAAAGGATGGGGGATAACTGTCATCGTCGATTACTTCAACCCTGAACTAAGATCACAATCGCTGATTATCAGGGAGTTATTATCATAGATTAAGAAGAGTCAGTCAGGTTTGTTACTGACAAATGATTACAGTTTAAACCCTATACATTATTAAGAAAAAGAAGGACATTAGATAGGGATCTATAGATATATAGAATGATTGCACTTGGCACAGATTCACCCTTACAGGTTGTTGAAAATCTTCACAGGTTCTCCGTCTCTTCTGAAGATGCACATGTCCGCTGCTCTCATCTGTCTTCAAACACGCCACATCTGGTGGCTGCCAGCTGCAGAAGTGTCTAAAACTGGCCTGGTGCCACCAAGTGTGGCGGAGGTGCCAACAGGCCAACCAGTACATGAGCCCTCACATTGCCTCTTTTTCCAGTGCTCAGACTAGTGCTAATAGGCTCTGGTGACACTGTCTGTGTGATGATGGTGTTGATGTGTGAAAGGACGTAGTTATGTTGGTGTTTGACACTCAAAATATCACCCTAGATTTCAATATATTCATCTATTCTCATAAAATTGCGCTGAAATATGAAGAAACTTGCATTAAGCCTTACCTGACCTGAATTCTCCCCCCGTTTTTTGCGTTTTTTGCTATAGAAACACAGTGGGGCGGATGCTGGAGCACCTGAGGTAGAGGCTGACATTGTACACATGCCTCCACATACACTGGGTGTGAGGACATGTAAATGGGGCACATACGCTGCTAGTCGTAGTAAATTAGGCCAACATCTGGACAGGCACAGAGAGTTCAATTGCCCACTCAGCTGTGGCTTGTACCTCGAGGGCTCGGTTAAGGAGAAGTGGCTTCGTGGCACAGTCCAGTGAGCTTTCAGGCTCAACCCTGCCATTTTGTTAAGACTTTGCCATACACAGCCACCTTAGAAAAGTTCTTTGTCTCCTACACAAACAGTGGGTCACTTTGACCGAGGATTAATGCGTTGCCATGGACAAAAGCTGGCAAGGGAGGGCACTTTACCCACACAAAGACAATTTAATGGGCTGTAAAACACAGCGGATTAATTTTGATTCACACATGTTTGACTTATAAGAATATCAATCCTCATTAGAAAAATTGAATTTATAAAAGTGCTAACGTCGTTATCTCCCTACTGACATTTAAAGCAATATATTAAAATCTATATTGATGATGAACAATACACCAATATGCTTTTACTCTTCATTTTAGTTATGGTTATTGTAGTTCAAATATATTTACAACCAAGCTGGGCTGGACAGTGGTGTGAAAAGAGTCATCTGAAGGGAGTCAAGCAGCTCTGATTGGAAAGCCCTCTGTGCTGTTGTGTACTGTTTACATCACGTTCAGGGTCCTCACATAACTCTCTGAACACAAAGCAGTCTCTTTCCTGTTTGTGTGCACCCAGAGTCTAATCTTACACTTCGTCATCCTAAAATGTATATATATCATTGACATTTTTAAACTGTGCTCATGTATGCCCTGTTGAATATAGCATGAACACATCCACACACATCTGTGCAGACATGCTAATCTTTGATTACTGATGAGGTGTGATGAGGTGTCGAGTCCTGCAGTTAGCTCTCTCTCTCCCCCTCTCTGAGACACACAGACACCAGATTCTCTGCCTCTGCCGCAGTGCAGGGCAGGGCCAGAATATCCAAACCATCCATTTCCATTTCAGCCAGTTTGCCTTGGAAAAGGGGGGGGGGTTTAACAGAATTTAAGCGGACGTGATCATAACGTTGCTAATATGCCTTTTAGATTGACTATCTCTGTACAGGATCAGATTAAAAAACAGAATCCACTTATTGCCAATAAGGTTTTTAGAATGTGCTTTCTTGTGTTAAAATAACATTTCAGAAATAACAAAGTATACAAAGGCAAAAATATTTTTGATATGTAATACTTTTCATTTTTATTTGTTAGATTTTTCATAACAATGAATTTTGTTTTTGCGTAATTAGTTTTATTGTAGGAATATGCAAAGGTTCACAGGACTGAAGGCTGCAAAGGCTGCCAGTAACAATTATATTTACAATTCTATGTTAAAGGTCAGTGTCTATGGATTTATTATACATTCTAAAAGTTTCTTTACACTATTACTTCTGATGAACATTTTTATAAATAAATCAATCCTCATCCTACGCATACCCTCTGCATCGTCATTTTACTCACACACACACACACACACACACACACACACACACACACACACACACACACACACACACACACACACACACACACACACACACACACACACACACACACACACACACACACACACAGCATTCGAAGCTGTCCATCAGAACAGATCCTCCCTCTGGTCATTCAGGCTCACTCACTGACTCCACCACCCCCACCTCTCTCTGTGACCCCTGACCCTAAACTCCCTCCTGTGGTTAAACCTACGGTCCCCTTAGGGCTTTCTCTTGACCTTGTGTTTCCCTGGCAGCACCACCAATGAGCTCAGTCAAATGTGAGCAATTGTTTAATGTTCCCCATGGCCACAGTGGGAAAGAAAAAGTTGCGCCTCTGAAACGGAATGCTGTTTTTGAAAGGAATCGAGAAATTGCGTTGTTGTTTTTTTGGGCCCGAAATGTGTTTGTGCCATAACTTGTGCAATTTGAGCAGATGGGCTGGATGAGTAATCACCGGTTTATTCTAATCCTTATACATATATCGTGTGTGTGAGTGTTTCCTCTTTTTTATGTTCACTCGCTATTTGCCAGTGGAGCAAATTTCCCCAATCTTGTCAACATGAAATGGCAGGTATTTGTTGGTCGAAAAAGAAAATGTGTACAATAAATCTTGTTCATCATGCAAGAGAAGGGTATGTTGCGCATGACCTGGGGTATTATATTACATTAGGTTTTTGAACTAAAAGTCCTACAGATATATAATGGCAATTTGTACGTTAAAAGTGCTTATTCATTAAAAAGAACATCCACGTTTATTTATAAGTATGTTAGTTTCTTAGGTTATGTTGGGGACTCTATTCTCAGCATTTTATACAGTGAGTGCACCCATGGGCGTAATTTCCACGGGGGACAGGGGGGACAAGTCCCCCCCACTTTTCAAAATCTTATTTGTGTCCCCCCCACTTTTTAAATGTGTTTATTATTTATTTTTTACGCAAGCGGTCCTCGTCACGGAGGAGCGTCTGTGTGTGTGTGGCACGAGCGCATCTTGTGAGAGAGAGATAGAAAGAAAGAGATAGAGACAGAGAGAGTTACGGGTGTTGTTGTTAGCATTTGGTGCTAGCTTGGAGCTAACGGAGATTAGTAGCTGTTTCAACAATAAGGAGAGGGAGAGTCCTCTCCTGTCGGACTGAGAGAGTTAACGTCAGCTCAGGGAGGTAAAGTGATTAGATTGTAAACTTTAGTGCATAAATAAAAAGAAAGAATGCAGACTAGGTAAGATAAAGATAGGAGAGAGGAGTTTATCAATGATTTGTTATTGGTTGTTAGCATATTCTAATGGTTTTTTGATTATTTAAATATATACAGTTCTGTTTCATATGTGTGTTGAGAGCTGTATCCATAAATCTCTTAATGTTGCCCTCAAAGTGAACCAGATTGATGCTTTTAACTTCAATTTAAAGAAAAGATCATCCCGGGTGCATGCCCCTAGACCCCCCTAGAGGATGTGAGGTCATCACAAATAAGACAGGTTCACATGGATAGGATACTAGATAAGTGTGCACACTCATTATATATACTGCACATTTTTCTTGGATTTATTAAGGCAGGAAATGGAATTAAATTGAGAAAATGTTTATTTGCGGAGGACCCCCTGTTTTGTGTCCCCCCCACTTCTCAAACCAAAGTTACACCCTTGAGTGCACCAATCCAAAAGATAAACAAAGTGAACAATCATGCACACACAATATGCACATGCTCTATGCCCATCTTTGTGATCACTGGGCAACCGCACACAAAGCCGTGCTCTGCTGTGCACAATGTGAAAGTCTCTGAGCACCAGAGGATGAGGAGGAGCACTGGGCTGTACCGCTGACCGAAAAGAAGAAAAAAAACACACACACACACACAGAGGATTTGGCAATTGGCCACATCCTGCGTGTGTCTGCACAACCAACATAGAGACATCCAGTACGCTCATAAGCGGCATCCCCTCAGCTGCAGCAGTGCAGGGTCCGATGCTTTGTCCTTCATACTGATTAAAATGCTAGATTAGGTCAGATGCAGCAGACTGAGAGCACAGCAGTGATAATTACTCCATAATTACACCATATTGTGTCTCTGCTGTGTTTCACCGCCATCATTTTGCCTTTTTACTCAGTGGTCATGTGCAAAATCACTACATCAAAGTCCT